TACTACTCTGCTACTCTACTACTCTACTACTCTACTACTCTACTACTCTACTACTCTACTACTCTACTACTCTACTACTCTACTACTCTACTACTCTACTACTCTACTACTCTACCAGGAGCGGAGGAACTGCCGTGCCTGTCCACCTCACGCTGACAGCAACCCTGTTTGGGTAATTGTTTAACTTCACGAAAGAAAAAGCATGCAGAGTGATACAAACAAGCAGCTTCGTGGTATGAACATTCCTGGGAGCACCAACTGCAGCCGCTGTCGCGGTTTTGCAGGAGACTGACCGTAGTGATCCAGCTCATTCCATTTATTGTGCGAAACTGCGAAACTAGTAGATTTTCGAAACTGTTGGTCACGGAGTCCGCGGCCGTAACACGCGCAGGCACGCGCACACACACACACACACTAAGCAATTAGCGAACTTTCCGACGCAAAAAATCAAGGGGAGGTCTGCAAAACTGGCACCTAGAACACGGTTGGATGGCAAAGACTGGAAGAGCGGCTGGACAATGGAGAAGTCGAAGTGAAGCGTGCCTGCCGAATCGCCGCTACATGTTGGCCTCTGATCCTCAACCCAATGTGTAAACAGTGTAAACCCAACCTTGTAGAGAAAGCACCATGACAGAATCTCTCGGCTTCTCTCCATGCATACACAGACTGCACTGCCGCATGCTGAAATCTACGCCCCTGATTACAGTGATCATAAAGTCCCGGAAGCAGCTGGGACTGCACGCTCATCATGTTGCCACTGCGCATGCTGCCAGGGCACAGAGACATGGCAAGGGTGAGCTGTCCTCCTGACCGGATCCATGCTTTTTTTCTTACAAGCCTTCCGCCACCCTGCATCACATGCAAAAAATTACGTTACGGGCCGCACACGCACACACAGAGATAAAAGCCAGGACGTGCAGAGAAGGGCAGAGGGCAAGAGATTCAGAAAGACCGTGAGACAGCAAGAAAACACATCTGACAGTTACCCAGCTTGCCGTGCCTGTCTCGAACGATTCGGCAACTGCGCTGTTGCCTCAGCCAGCATCCGTGGAACCTGCAGTGTGCAGTAGCCGCAGCAGCCAACTGCTCGGGGGCTACAGCTTGTGGTGCTTCTGGCATGGAGTACGGCGTCGAGTCTCGAGGTTAGTATGCTTGCTGTGCCTTATCACTTTTCATACTTTTCTACCGAGGACCGTCTTCAATTTCCCACCTATTTGCAAGCTTCCGGGCATCGGCTCCCGTTCTGGACCTCTTAGCGCTTGACTTGCAGCAAACTTTCACGGGCCTGGCCCCGTTAAAAACGGGTTTGGGGGATACCTCGTGGCACCTCCACCGCGGATTGGCCTTTGCGGATTGATTGGCATTTCAATACATTTCGCTTGAAAAAAACTCTGCAAAAGGGGACCGAGCTCTACTTCTGGAGCTCGAGAAGGCGGAAGGAGGGGAAAACCACGGAGACCAGACGACCGCTCCTGTCGCCAAGCTCGATTGCACAGGTACGAGGAGACCTCTTCTGGAGGATGCAGTTGCCGGAACACGGGCGCTGCTCGTGTGTTGCCCATCAACCCCTCCCCAATTTCAGTGTTGATGAGACTTGCTGCAGCTCTGGAACACTGGAAAACCAGGTTCTGAAGGATTGACAGATGGATAGCCGGCAAGAACTGATGCAGCACTTCGTCCAAACTTGCCTGAAGCTCCCAGGCGAGCTCCCCTTTGGGAACCATTCCAATAGAGCCCATCTCGAGAGCATTCCTCATGGCAAATGAATCTGGCTGCAGGTTCAAAAACATGTCATGTACCACACGTTATGATCAAGTCATCTGCAACTTTCCGTTTCAGGACCATATCCGACACTGCAACTGCAACATGGATCGCACAGACATAATGCGATTTTAAGAATAAGCTCTCAAAGCTCGCCGAACAAAATCGGAACTAACTCCTAATGGTTCCTGCGAAGCGTCTGCTTCGAGTAGGCCCAGCGCAACCGGCCCACTGCAAAGGACGTGGCCTCAACTGCGGTCTCCCACAAATCTTCAAGGGCCGACACTGCAGAGCCAGTTCTAAGGCGTGCAGCCACGCGGCATTCAGGACGGCAACATCCTTATGTGGACACAGCTCACAGAAACGGAACAGAACTGCGGCCATACTGGACAAATTCAACAGACTTTACTGCAGCATGACGGTGCAAGCGAAGAGACTGACGAGTCGCACTAAAAGCTGATTTTGACAGTAGAAGCTGACTTGACCAAGGTGCCGAAGGAAAATTTGGTTGAACTCGCAAGCCCGCACCGCCTGACAGCGAGGCTGGGGACAAGTCAGGCACAGCTCGCGGCAGCCCGCGGCGCCTGGGCCTGGGCCCCGCAAGAGTGCATCGCGAAAGGCCGTGCCACCGCTCTTTGCCACGTGGATCTAGAGGCACAAGAAAGAGATCACTGAAGAGTCACTGGAGCTCAAGCGGATATAAGCAGAGCAGAGATTGCTGCAAGGCGGCAAAGGCAGCCACAGATCCGGCCCGTCGCTTCCAAACAGGTACACAGGGGCTGCCTGCAAAGCGACAAAATCGCCCTGCCCATGTCAGGGCCCTGGTTTTGGAGCTTCGAGACTCGAGTCTTTAGAGTCGAAAGGCGTGCAAGCTCCGGTGGAGTTTCGGACTTCGGGGTCGAGGGGCAGGCATGGATTCGGACATGCTTCCTGTGCACCCTCGCAACCCTTCTAGGGCGCGGTGGCACTAGACGTGGACACCCCACCTGATGGGCTGGGCACCCTGTCTGCCAGACGGTGCCTGCATACTCCGGTTGCGCAACAAGGGGCGCAAGCTGGCGGCTTCGTTCCCGCACGAGCCTCGAAGGATGTGGCACGATATCATTCGCTGAGCAACGTGAGCACCAGGTTTTCACCAGCAGAAAAAGCCACATTCGATATCGTTTCCCACAGCCTGCCTCCTGAAGGCCAAAACATTCCCAGCTGCCAGGAGCGTTCGCACGGGCCTTTGGCAGCACCAGCAAGACCACGAAATCATGCCATGCATTGCCCCGCATCATGCATGTCTTGTCACAGACGTGTCCGACTGGCTACATTGGCAAGGTCGCTGGCTTTCTAGCGAAACCCAATCTCAGGGCAGAGCCGATGGAAGTACAAGCGTCCTCCGAGAAGAGGCACACTCTGTGCGTGGGCAAGAAGCATTCTGAAACTGTCTCTACGTTGAAGCTAATTGAAGCTACACCCGAGGTGCTGTGCATCTTGTTGCTGCCGTTCTTGGCATTCGCACTCTCTCGCACATTCCATGTCCTCGAAGCTCAGTGGTTCCACTTGCGCTTCCACGTGTGATGTCCAGCGGAGCTGAGGTGTTGGTTGGAATCCAAGTCAGCAGATAAGAGCCTGTCGGACGGACTTGACTCGCAAAGCAGCCCAAAGTACCATGAATTCGCATATCGGAAGCTGATCGGGCTTTTGCACTGACAACTTACGATTGCTGTTGCAACTCCAGATCTCTGCAAAACTGAAGTGCAAAGGTCTTTCTTCCTGCTTGGCAGGTATCAGTGCGGTTGCTTCCGAGGGCTCCGTAGCAAACTTGTTCACAAAAGAGATCGCAGCAAGGCAAATCTGCGCCTTCCACAGTCGCTAGCGCAAGCCACAGGGAGCCGAGGCCCATGGCACGCCGCCACACGCCTGCACGCCATGACCTCCATGGCTGGGGCCGGGCCGAGCTGGCAAAAGCTTTAAAAGTCCCGATGTGATGTTCCGCTTCTTTCCGCTTCGCTCCGCTTCACGCAAGCAGCTTGCAAGCACATGAGAACAGCTAAAAGCCAAGAGGGCAAGAGGCAGTATTCTCAAAGGGGTCCTGGAGCACTTGGGGAGCTGAGGGGCGAAGAACTGCGAAAACGCGGTCCAAATGCGAAGAAGCAAGGTCTCCGTTGCATGCGGCTTGAAGGATCTTAAGGCCAGGTACTGCGCTTGCAATCGCTTGCAGCCGGAGTGCTGACACGACACCATACGCCAGTTTGCCCGGGCTCAGTACCACAGGAATATCAAAAATGTAAGGCGAGATTGGAGAGCTTCAAAAATTTGAGTGAGAAAAGTTTGGAGTTCGATAGTTTGAAAGCTTCGCGTTTGAAGCTAAGCATGAGTTTGGAGTTCGAAGGTTCGAACGGGAATCCAGCTCGAAAGTTCGAAGCCGCAGCCACGTGCGCCGTGCGAGGGACGTGGGGTGGAGGACAGGAGGGGGACGCAGGTGGGCTCAAGGACCATCTCGCGGGCTGGAGTTTGAAAGTTTCAGCGGCTGGAGATTCAAACTTTGAAAACCCAGGGAGTTGGCAAGTTTGAAAGTTGGAAGGTTCGAAAATTCGACGGCTTCAAAGGCTGGAGCTTTGAACGCTTGAAACTTTCAACCTTCGAAAGCTTGAAAGCTTGAGAGACACCGAGTTCGAGAGATCGAATGAAAACTTGAGGGTTGAACAAACTGAAAGTTTGAGTTCGAAAGAGCGCTGATTTTCTGACGTCTGATCGTATGTCTCAAGTCTCGGGCCTAGGGTTGGAAGCTTCGAGTTGCCAACTTTGCTTGAAATGAGATGACTGATACCTTGACTATAACCTGCAAGTAGCCTTGCTCATCAAGCATCTCGAAATCCTAAAGTGTTCGTTTAAGGATTAGCGGTTTAGGTACCCCGAAGTCTGCCTCCGTAGAGCCGAGCCTCAGAAGTTAGAATAAGGTTTGCATTTGTGACGTTGGCTCAGGGGCTATAACTATACAATTATGCGCTTCCATCAACGAGTGCGCCAAGCTTCAAACCCCAAACCCCAATCCTAAACTGAACCTCAATCTCCGATACCGAACGATGATGATTAAGGTCGTTTAAAAACAACAAGTCCGAGCTCCGAGACATGCATGGCAAAACAAACACGCACCAAATGTCACCTCTCCAAATAGTTGTGAGCATGAGAGCGTCAGCCTAGTGCAAGCCCGCTTGCGACCTCGAAAGTCGGCGGACATTCGAGCTTTCACATTCGACGCGTTGCTACTTGGCAGTTGCCCAGCTCACGTACCCCTTCATCGAGACCTCCTGGTCCAGCCACGGTCATCTTGAAAGTGTGCGAGACACTCTGACATGCCTGCTGCAGAAATCCTGCCAAAGTACAGCCGGCACCCGTTTTGACTACCTCTCCGGGTATTGATTTGGAGAGTGTTTGTTTCCCTTGTTGCCTGGATTCTTTCGGCAAGCCGCGGGGTTGCGAAGCCCTTCAACACGAAGCCCTGAGCCCCTGAAGCTGCATCTTTAGGGTTTAGGGCTTAGGTGTGGCGGGCTGCAGAGTAGTTGATGGTCGACACTCACTAACTCACTCACTCCTGCATTTTGGTTTTTCGATTGAGTGCTCTTCTAGCAGGACCTGATCAGGACCTGGGAATCACTCCAACTTCCAGCAAGTGTTTGCAACACATTTGTTGCAAGGCCCAGTGTGGAACACAAACCCAAATCAAAATGCCACGCACGGCTGCAAGTACCATTCAGGACCGAGTCTTCTGGAACAAGTGTTGCAAGATCTTTTGCAAGGATCAACACACACCGAAAAACAAGATGCTACGCGGCCACAGTTTTGCGGCACAAGTGTTGCAAGACTTTCTGCAAGGCCCGAAAGTGATCAACACGAAGAAGTGCAAGCGTTGGCCAGACTGTGCTTGCAAGATTCTTGCAAGGCCCACCACCAAACAACCCTCGACCTCGACTGCCCCGTCGCCCACCACCAGCCTTCTGCCTAGGAAGCCGCTGTTGGGAGCTGTGAAGAGGCAAGGTCAAGTCACAGAAACGGCAAGTGCACACGAGCTGTTTTATGCTTTCCTTGCGCATCAGCCTTCAGCTGCGGCCTGGCGAGAAGATCCAGATCCGACTGCACAAGGCACGACCAGCATGGCGGAACCATCTCTTGATGTCTCTTGCCTCTGCGGCAGCCACCTGCTCCATCAGTGCCTGGTTGTTAGAGACTCTCTTGAAAATCGAACCTCGAAACCTTCAGCAGAGGGCAACATGAATCAGACTCATCCGACACAGGCGGCCTGGGCAACAGGATCTTGCCCCGTGCTGTCGATGCCTTTTGCCTTGAAAGAGCAGAAAGTATGCAGCGAAGTCTCATAGACTGCTTTCATGCACAATACTCACAGCTTGGCATCTGCAAGGCGTTTGGCCAGCCCGGCAGTAGGATCTTCTTCCACCGGTCGCATGCACACAGGCAGCCGTTCCGTCCAACCTCTTCATTGTTCACCTGCTCGTTGTCGTCTGCGAGGTTGGCGACCTCCTGAAGGCAGGGACCAAGGCACAACCACCGGTTCACAGTAGTCTTTGTAACGTTAAGCCTCATGCCAAAAACAATCTTGACCAAGCAAGGCAGCGGTCAAACAGACTGTCCTGATTGTCAGCAGACTGCGCCCGCAACGGCTGCCTTGCAGATAAAATCTGGAAAAAAAACATGCTTTGAGATCATGTGTGCGCAATCAAAGTCACTCACGCTATTATCTTTTCGTCCAGCGGGTAGCGACAGGCTGTCCAGCAGGACTGGCGACCTTTTTCCTGGCCAACGTTGTCTCGATGAACAAACATGGCGCTGCCTTCGGCATGCCACAACGGCCACAGCCGCCACCGTCTCCACCGTCTCCACGGCCACCACCACGTGCTTTGAGGTTGACTTGTCCCGTCAATGCTATACCAAAATGCAGATTCGGGCTTCTAGATGAGGGATACTGGTTCTCAGAGCCGCACCCGCTGGACCGCCTCCTACCATGCGAAGATTCCCGGACTTCAACCACTGCACTAACACTTCCGGTTCTTACAGAACTGGAAGAGCTTCATCAGTCTTGGACTGATCGAAGGGCATTAACTTACCTCAGGAACTCACGACAGCTCACATGCTTTCGAAAGTCACTACCTGAAAGCAACACCGACCCTTGGTGCACGGGTATACGGGCCAAGACAGGCTCAAGCTTCTGACTCTCCGCATGTGCACAATTTGCAGCCCTTGGGCATCGTTTACCCTCCGTGCGTCATCAGAACCCCAAACCCTAAACCGACGGCATTGCCTCTTCCCTAATTCCGTTTGCAAAGTGAATTGCTTCATTTTGCACCGACCATGCTGCAGGTTTGTAGCCTATTGCCTATTGCAGCCAATCAGAATGATAGCTGCTTCAACGGGAAGCTGTAGGGACCAAGATCGTACAGTAGGTCCGGAAAATGCGGCCCTTCAGTGCTGCCCCTGGCCTGAGGAACAAACGGTGGAGCTTGTACGTTTGACGAAGAGCCCGCCCTCCCTTCATGACCGAGCAGCATTCATCAGCTTTGTGTCGCGGCCTTCAGGGGCTGCACAGCAATGCGCAGCTACCGCTTGTTGGCTCCCACCTGATCCCGTGATCCGAGTCTCGACCTTGCCTCGCAGCAGTCGCTGCGAAGAGCGCGGACGGCCCAGGTCAGGACCGACATCGAACGGGACGTCTGGAAGATGGAGACTCTCGTCATGCTGCATCCATGGACCCTGCAGCCAAATTCAGCTTTTGTCGCAAGCATGAAGAATCCGCCAGCCAGTTCCAGACATGCGGCCCCTGTGGAAGCACCGCATAGGAAGCCTTAGCTTGGACATGTCAGCCACAGCGTGAGATTTTCGCTGCTCATGTCTTGTTCCCACACATGTGACAGAATTGCATCTTAGATGATCTGAGCTCACAGCTCCCTGAACCCAACGACGACAGCAACGGCGGGTCCTGGGGACAGAACGTGGGCCTTCAAAAGGCTTAGAGGTAGCATTCCGAAGGGTATCTCCAGAAGCACACCCTGATTCGTCACAACACTACTTCAAGCTTGAGCTTGCGCGCAGCTGCTGTCACAAGCTGCAGCTGTGGCATCTGAGATGCATCGAAACAAGAACGAAGCTTCTGGCCTCTTTGGGTGCCAGCGGCTGCTTACGGAGCGATTTCCTGGGCTCAATGCATTGTGCATGGCTACGCATGGCTGCAAGTTGCCACTGCAGCAGCCATCGTCTACCAGACTTCGAAATAAAGAAACTCCTAGAAGATTCTCGCAAAGCATCGATTCGAATTTCGATGACAACTCGCCAACCAAGGCCTCCATATTGTAGAGGCGCTCTTCTGTGATCATGACCTTTCCTTCAGCGCGAGCACCGAACATCAATGCGGCCAATAGTAATTCAATAGTGAGCGAAGCGAGATGGACGACTTTTTGAAAAAAGTGCACACACGTGCGCACACACACACGCACACACGCACACATCACTGGACTTTCGACCCATGACATCTGCTGGGGCTCGTTTGATGCGGCGGCTCTCGTCCATGACGCACGCAATGTCCAGCGCCTGCTGTGCAGAATCGACACCAAAAGCTCAGTGGTTGATTCAAAGGTGGGATGCGCAATGCTTGTCAAAGGACATGGCCTTTGCAGGTCCACGAAGCCGTAGGCATCCATCAATGAATTCCTATGTCGCACAACATTTTCTGATAGTATGATGCACTTACGAGAGTTCACACATTGGCTTACCACTGGCACCGTGGCAGCAACTGGCCTGGCTCACCGCTGTGCATAAGCGGCTGGGTTCTCTGGAACTTGTCCGGCCGCCACGCTACGTGCTTCTTATGTCCAAGCCTCCGCCTTTCTCGCTTTTTGGGCACGGACAACTCCAGCATTTCATATGATGTGCTTGATCTGATGTGCCCAGCTTCCACCTTCTTTGGAGTGGGTGGCTTCGAAGCTTCTTTTCGCGAAGAAACACCGACTTCAAGGTGCTCGTCTGGGCCCCGGGACGGCGGCGGCCCCCGTCTCCCTGCACATCCCCATACCCCCCCTCCTCGTATCCATATTCGCGCCCCAAGCCACGTATCCCTTTTCGCGCCCCGAGCCATCTGCGAACAACTTTGGGGAGCCCGCTGATACGCCGCATAGAGTCTAATTACCGGCCTAATTTTAGCTGCCCATGAACCTTCCATTGAGACTCGGCGACATATCAGACGGTGGAGCCATGGTACTGACCAAAGAGATCGTCAAGTCCGGAGGGCTGGACATGAAAGCACGTAGCATGCCTGTATCGAGCGGGGTGAGCAAAGGCCATGCATGGTGCGAGTGTGGCTGGAGGGCGGGAATGCCTGAAGCTGCAAAGCTAAGGGCTCCAGAAGCCCAACAGCTTTGCGTGCTGCCCCGTGAAGGTGTCGGCAGATCTGTGGGCAAGTGGAAGCATTGAGTCGAGTAACGTTTACCAGTGCCATCGCCGCAGTGACCGTGGGCGTGGGCACTCAGCCTTTGCCAATTCCATTGGCTGAAGCAGTTCAGATGGGGCTGGTCCGGCACAGTCGCAAAACATAGGTATGGGTGGGGAGGCGAGCTTGGTGGACATTGACCTCTGTTGTGTATGACGAATACAAAGACGCATGCCTGCTGCATGCATGCATGCATGCATGCCAGCTACGTTCCAACCAAATACATCCATAAATCGAAATAGGACAACTGTCCCTGTGATCCACCCACTTTGCAAGGCCAGCTGTGTGCCAGCCCATCTTGCAGCCGGCCGACCGAAAGGTTAATGTCACCGTTGCCCTCCTCGTCCAGCAGCTTGAACAGAGTCCAGGAGTCCCTGCGATTTGCTTTTTGAATGCCACAACTTAGGCCGGTGACATGATGCTTGCACGCATGAGGATTCAGGAGGCGTAATCGGTGCAATAATCGAAGATGCGCCTTGCTGTCAAGTCCAGAGACTGGAACATGGCGCGAACCTCCTCATCGTTGAAGAACTGCCTCGACAGTTGTCGTTGAAGCCAGAGACTTCGGGTAAAACAGCACCATTGGCATGTCAAAGACGGTTCACATCTGCTCACTGCTGTGACTCGACCGATTCATCTATACTAAGGATGAGCCCCGCCTGATGATTATATGAAAGCCAGAAACTAGAAAACTGAGAATAAACCTTTGAAAACAATCAAACCCAGATCAATAGGCTCAACCGAAAACTGAAGGTCATCGGTGGGCATCTTGCAGAACAGGCAACTCCATTTCGCTCAGCGTGATAGCTCCATCCCTCTCAAGGCCTCGGCACTGCTCTGAGCATTCGGGAAGCATGCAAACCGCCTTAAGATGAGAAGATACCGCAAGACTTTGCACTTGCGATACCCGGCAACGTAAAGAATGGGCAGCAGCAGCAGCAGCAGCAGGTAGTGAAGTGGCGGTGATAGTGGAAGTTGCAGCAATTCTACTACTGGTGCTATTTCTACTACCATCACCAGCTCTACTAGTACTACCTGCTAACTGTTAACTGCCAACTCCGAACTTGCTATTAACCATCACCCACCACTACTGCGACGACCACCACCACCATCAACCACCACCGCGGTACTACTGCTATCGCTGCTACTACTACTACGACGACAACTACTCCCAATAATATTATTGCTATTGCTACTACTCCTGATGCTGTTACTACAGCAACAGGAGATAACAATAATTCTAGTTACTAGTTCTACTACTACGACTCCTACTACTACTACTACTACTACTACTACTACTTCTACTACTACTTCTACTACTACTACTACTACTACTACTACTACTAGTACTACCACCACCACCGCTACTCCTCCTCCTACTGCTACTGCTACTGCTACTGCTGCTACTACTACTACTACTACTACTACTGCTACTGCTACTGCTACTGCTACTGCTACTTCTGCTACTACCACTACTACCACTACTACCACTACTACCA